CGTCAGTTGAGTTCGAGGGAAACGCGAACGCGTTCATTTTTCAGAGAGGAAAATCAATTTCCCTGTTTAAATTCTACGACACCCATCATCAAACTTCCACGAGCGGACTCCTGTAAAAAAGAAAAAACCGTGAGAATATACTTTTTTTTCCTTTTTGCGCTCTGTCGCTTTCTTTTATCGTTCGCTCAGACGCAAATATTTCGGTCAAATTCAAAAGAACTGAAGCCAATATTTGAAGAAAGAAGAAACTCCGTGAAGAAAGTTGGCAATTCAAACTGGATAATAGTTTCAGAAACAAAGTATTATTGTTACATATGCGTGTTCTAGTTTTTTGTTGAATATATTTTTTTACAATACTAACAAGTGAATTAATATATGTGATTTAAGAATTAAAAATTCATACATATATATATATATATATATATATATGTATAAATAAATTTATATTTATATATAATACATTAATATAATTATACTCTTGCAGTTAGAAAAAAGTGGAAGACTGCTTTGTATCGTTCACGTTAAAATTTTCTGCCGTTTTACCCAGTTTCGATTGCAATTAGAAAAAGATAAAGAAATCGCAAGAAAAGAAAACAATTGTGTCCTCAAAAACGTACATCAATACCGCTCTGATTGTGTGGCAAACAAAAAGTAAAGAGTTGTCAAATATTAAGGAAACTTTAAGTTATCTTATAAAAAAAAGAATTAACTATATTGTATGCATCCACACGGAAAACTATTTTAACGCAAAATTCATTGAAACATTAAGGGATAACGCGCTTAAAGAAAATATGTCTTTTAGCTTAATCATGTTGTTATTACAAATTTTGTGATTGTCTGTGTATACGTATCATTTTTGCTTTGGAGATATAAATAAATGAAGAAAGAATAAATAAAATTAACGAGTTATAGTTATATATTTATAAAACGAATTAATTGTATCGTATTTGCATCGATATTTCAATATAAGAAAAAAAAAGTTTATTTATTATCGTAACAAACTGTTAATTGAAAAACATTATTTTGACTCCATTGTAAGCGTGAAAGCTTTATTGAGTATCGAAAATATATTGTAAATACTTATTAACAATTGCTTCCGTAAAACATAGAGCATCATCATACAAGTCCGTGTACATATCGCAAAATTTTCCATCTCACGTTATTTAATGATACCAGATGATTCACTACCGTATTTTACATGTATTATGATTTATAAAATGTGTACGCAATATCGTATGTGTATGCGTGTGCATGTAACTATAAAAAAAATTTCAAGAACATTGCAATGGTCGACACTCAAGTATCGACTACCTCTTTAGAGAAATATAGGTATATGTGTGTATACATATAGGTATACATAAATATGTTGTGTGTATGCGTGTATAAAAGAAAGATAAAACAATATTATACCCAATAGTAACAGGAGAGCACGTTACTCGGGGTTCAAATTTCGTCCAAAGATCCCAAAAAACATATTATCATTAAGTAGTTATGGAAAGATGGTACCTGATATATCCTGAAACTTTATTTTTGCGTTAAAATATAATTAAACGAGCTCGTATTTTGTACAGATTGAAGTTTAACGTAAGTTAATCAGTCCAAAACTGTCAATACCAAAGAAACTGAAAATATTAGAAAAATAAAAAAGTATATCAAATATTAAACTCAATCATAAGCCGTGAAACGATGAGTAAATTGAAAATTTTCTGAACAATATATGTGTATAATATAAAATTATTGTATTCGCAAATGATCTTTGGACCTTACGAAATCACCCCTCTAATAACGCTATCAACTTAACATTTATTTTACTATGCATCAGGCGATCTGTAAATGTTTATTAAATAACTTCGTATATACAAATTTCTATAGAGGAAAAATTAGAAAAGAATCATGAATAATATACGTTATTCAATGTGTTGTCCATTGAACTACCATTTAACATATGTCTATCGATGTAAGAACACAGTTTCATTAAGACAGTGTTGTCTTATGTTACGTTAAATTGAACTAAATTGTTTCACGATGATCCGTTTAATAAAGATGATTAAATGCTATCTATTATGAATTACAAATGAATATCATAAGCAGTCGGGAAAATTTCAATTTTCTTTTCAGTAGAAAAGAAGTCATGCTAGTTAGTTAAAATATCCATTCTTATTGCTGAAAAGAAGACTAGTTTGCAGTCACAATTTTTAACAGATGATAATACTTTTACTCGACAACGTCAACAGGATTTTTAAATTTTGAATATAAAAAAGAAAATATAATAATCTACATGGAATGTTGATAACAAAAGAACAAAATATAAAAAGAGAAAAATAGTACTACTATTTAGATTATGAAACGTATTTGTATGAATTATCTTTGTTTCTCTTTACATTCAATGTTGATTTAATATTACAATAATAACTACTATTATTCATATTATTACCGTGACCATTTTATGTAAGACCTAACGATACTTTGTACAAGTTTTATGATACAAATATATTACGACAATTCAGTTTATATACCATATAACATTATACTTTTAGTATTACACCTTTCATGGATTAAACCTTTTTCCTTTTTGAAGGCAATGATTTTATTCATATGTAATGTCATTGATAAAAGGATCTGACTGCTTTCAAATTCAAAAATTTCTTTTTTTTTTCCACGTGGTACCGGGAAAATAGAAATCTACACACTTATACACCTCCATCACAAACATACTTCACACCCTATTCACTTTGAAGGTATTAACCTCGAAGTATCCTCGTGATTCTGGTACTTTGGTTTTCCGTGAGTGAACGGTAGATATCTGTATTTGATCATATGCTGTAAACAAATTAATTACTTTATATTTTTGATTATTATTCAATTAATCGACTTAATCAATTTAGATAATTCAAATAATTAACTGATAATGTAAAGTAATACGGAACTAAAAAAATATCTCACAAATTAAATTATGAATGTAGTATATAGCTTTACCTTTATTTGACGCTTCATAGTAATGCAAAATAGCGTTATGAAGTACATGACAAGTATGGGCCAAAATACTGGTATATTGAAACAATCAAACATAGTACATATCATAGCAATAACTGTAGACTTCATCACAGAATACCAAAATTTAAATTCGGGTAACCTTCTAATAAACGGCCTAAATTCCTCATTTGATCTTGTAGGTAATTCTGGTCCATCACCATCTATTAAGAAAGTTCTGTTAACAATGTGTTGTGAAAATTGAGTTGAATTTAGAATTGAAGTATTGATATTACAAATTACAACTCACTACATGAATTTTTAACATAATTTCTGACTTTGGTTTCATCTCGTATTAATAAATAATAACTTTTGTGAATTTTACACTTACCGTCAAAATCCATTGCAGGATCAATTTTAGGAGTAAGGAATGCTATGAATAAATTTAGATGATAAATTGCTAGTGCATATGTGACTATGTACCATCCCTGAAAATAGAAGAATATATTAGAATTTACAAAGAAGAAGGAGAAAGAATGAAGAATGTGCTTAAACTTTAACTTACTTCTGAGATGAATATACGCAGAAAAAAGGCAAGTATTAGGAAAAAAGCAACTGTCCATCTTGATATTACATGAGGAGTCCAAAGGTCCAGATATCTTTGATATAACTATAACATAAATACATATACGCATTAATATCATATTAATACATTAAATATATCTTTTTTTAAGTAAAATCAAATACAAGTAATGACAAAACATGAGGTTTAACTAAATACCTGTGATATTCTTCCTATTGCTTGACTGAAAACATTTCGTCTTGCAGGACCACCCAGATGCTCATCTTGCATCATTTTACCTTCCTACAATAAAAATTTTTATTTTATAATCGTGATTATAAATTTGTATGTACATACGTTGCAATATATTCCTATCAAAATATATGCATCTAAACCATGTATTTGTAATAAAATTTATTTATTACACAAATGTTTCAATTTCATAAATGTTATATATTCGCAAATAAAATATTACATTATAAAGATATTCCTAATTTCTTAAACGAGTACAGACAAGAACCAGATTTAGCTATAAGCAATTAAACATTAAATATCTTACACAGAATTATAAACAATAGAAACAATAGAAACAAAGAATAAAAATCAATTATAATTTATTTAAAAAACATTAATAAAACTTTATTAATGTTTTAATTAAGAAATTTAACTAAATATCCCGTCATAATGTAATAAATACATTTCTATATTGTAAAAAGTACATTTTCGCAAATAAATTTAAATAACAAAAGTACAATGTGTTTTTCAGTGTACTCGAGAAAATGTGCAGATACAAGTGCATAAGAAATATAATTACACTGAAAAATTGCTGAAATTCAAATAACTAATATTAAACATCCAAGTGAATAACAATTCACGTTTACAGGTATGATTTGATAATTAAAGAAAACTCTTAATATATCGAATTATCAAAATGAACTCAAGGTTGCTAAAATATAAGACTTCCCAAGTAACAGTTTGATCGAATCTTTTTTATCAAATGATAAAAACTGAAAATCCGCGTGAACTCTTGAATCTCTGTCTATTAATTGCATTAATATCTCCTTTTTAAGTAATTGGATATTAGTTTAGAAAATTAACAGTATTTTCACAGGTTCTGAGTGCCATGAACCGAACGAAGTAACACATAACCTCTTCATCTTAAAATGATCGTAAATCTAACTGTAAATTGAAAATAAATTAAAAATAAATAATATTTACCTGAGGTATTTGTACGTTTTCAGCCAATTTTCGCAATTAATTCGCTGTTTATTAAAGGTTAAAAAAAAATAACACGTCACAACATTAATGGCATACTTTGATTAGATGTACTATAGAATTTGCAAGGTGTTTCAACTTATCTCCTGGCTCCTGATATTGTATCACAAGAGCGAACAACTGTTAAATCTGATTCTTATGTAACGAACTATACAATTTACATTAATTTGTGATTGGTGACGCATTTACATTAAGTTACCGATCCAGATCTTTTAGAATGCATAATTGCAACCGCTCCCTACGTGTACTTACTGCGACTTGTTAAGTAATTCGCCATTATTTCTAAATATTTTTCTGTTTATTTTATTGACAAAATAATTGACAAAATAATTTTACAATTGAGAAAAATTTTATAATAAACGCAAACCTACAATTCTAACATATAAGCAATAACATATTAATGAAAATATTAAAGGTCTAAGAGATTGAAATCGTAAGACTTGTTTTTTTTTAATTCTTTAAACATTTATGTATTTTTCATAATTGTAAATATTCTATATTGTCATTTTATATATTATTGAGTATAATATCCTGAACTTTCAAAACATGATACGTACAAATGTAAGTTTAAGTGTATAAATTTTTAATTTGCGTTCATAAAATATATCAAGGAAAGTATGATTAATCGATCAACGTGAAAATAATTAATAGTGCATGATGTGTATATATATATATATATATATATATATATCTGTATGTATGAAAAAAAGAAAGAAAAATCAAATTATCATTTTATAACGATAATGTTTCGTTGCTATAGCAAAACCGAATATTCGTACATGAGTACATATACAAGTGTATGTAAATATACAAGCAACGACTAACTTTTCAAAGATGAATTTTAAGTGAAACTGTAAGAAAGCGATGTCTTTTGGAACGAAAATAGTTACCAAACGTTAAAATTTTTATTTTTAGAATAGAAGACTGTGAAACTGACAAAAGTGCGGCGCCATATTGCGTGCTTGTGTTTGGTTACTGTTCTGGCGCGTGGTCAAGAATTGTTATATTTAATTAAATACCATGTCCGATAATCAGGTGAGCTTTTCGATTTTAACGAGCAATTCGTCGGTCGACATTTCGTAATATAAACATAACGCAACATTCGAATGTTCAATTATATTTTGAACCTAATCGGTCTAACCTTGTGCATTAGGAACAAAAACCCGAAGCCGGCCCAGGTGACGCGAATTCCGAATACATCAAGCTTAAAGTTGTTGGAAATGTAAGAAGTTGCTATTTTACGTCTTTACGTTTGACGTTTACTTCAACGACTCACAATGACAAGTTTTGTCATTTCTTTTTTTTTTTTCTAGGACAGCAATGAAATTCACTTTAGGGTAAAGATGACCACTCAAATGGGTAAACTCAAGAAATCGTATAGCGATCGTGTGGTTGGTTCACTTTCCTAAATAAAAGTTAATCATATCGTGCAGTTCGTTCACTTCTCTGAATAAACTGATAATGTGTTTAAATATCGTCGATAGAGTTTTGATAATTTACTTTGAGGAATAATTTATTTCAAAAAAGCACCTAAATTTTTTTAATTTTTTTGCACCTGATAATTAACTCAAATCGCGTGTATGATAAAAGTATACAGCATCATTGAGATTAGAAGATCTTTTAATTTTGAATCTTTTAATTCTTATATTTATAAAAATGCAACTTATTGAAGTATTTTTGAATTTTATAGAGAAAAATGATTTTATTTCAAAATAATGTTATTTTTATATGTTTTAAAACATAAGTGTATCTACATTTATTACAGGGTGTTCCTATGACGTCACTCAGGTTTTTGTTTGATGGTAAAAGAATTAACGATGACGAAACACCAAAGCAGGTAAATTTTAAAGCTTAACATTTTCAAATAATCACTGCAGAAATATTTAATATACTTTATTTAATATGATAAGTATAACAATCTTAAAATTGTTTTTTTAGTTGGAAATGGAAAATGATGATGTTATTGAAGTATATCAAGAACAGACAGGAGGTCACTACTGAAGAAATTTATTCAGTTTTAATATCTTCTAAAGTGAAAGTGACTATCGTAAAGAAATGGACAAGTTTATCAGTATATGTATATGTATGTTACAAAACATGTAATTTGGTTTTTTACGTAACATTTTGATGTGCTGTTCTACATTCCTGTAATAACGTGGCAAGTTTTAAAACTATCAAGTCAGTTTCATACAATGTACATGTTCATCCAACAAAAGCAAAAAAAAAAAAAAAAAA